CCCCCCCCCCCACCCCCCCCCCCCCCCCCCGCCCAGTACGTCCATGATTTTAAGCAATTTTAGGCGATTTTAAGTGATTTTAGGCGATTTTAAGCGATTTTAGGCGATTTAAGAGAAATTTGACAATTTAACCCGCGATTTAATGCGATTTTGGGCGATTTTAGGCGATTTACCGCCCCAGAGTAGGCCTCTAGATAAAGAGGAAAATGACTGGTTAAGAAGCGAAAGCCGTTCTCCAGAAAGTCCAGATGTATTGACCCAATATGCGAGGTATAAATAAAACATGCATGGTGCCTGGTGTAATGTACGTAAGATCTTTATTTACACAGAGTGACCCAATCAGTGATTGTTCACTGTTATCCTTGGGGGCCCTGAAAAATATACAGTTTATCTACAATGCAGTTTTATCCAAAATAGTATAAAATTATCTAAAATCCCTACAATAAACTAACTATCTATATGTACCGATCGACTTTATTAGACTTATTAAAAACCTTGCATCCATAATAATAAAAAGAATTCTTTGCACATTCAGTTCTTACTTTAGGCAAACGAAGTTTGTCTGATTGTCTTGTTATTCGCGAGGAACTGTCACGATTGAAAACGAAATAATTATTAAAAAATTGTCGACATTTCCCTAGAATACATTTGTAACCAGTTTGAGAACATGTACGTCTCCTCTTGATTCTAAGCTGTCCCATCTGAGGCTTTGCATTGCGTCATCACTTCGCGGGTACCTGGAAATCACTCTGACAGCACGCTTTTGGAGTATCTCGAGCCTTCCTTTGTTTTGCTCACCACAGCACGTCCAAATACTGTCCCCATACTCCATAAGAGGGCGAATGAACGACTTATAAACCGTTTCCGCCGCATTTGGGGTCAGGTTGTTCCATAGTCGACGTAACATGCCAATTCTACTGCCCACTTTCATTGCTACATGATCAACATGTGAATGCCAAGACAATTTTGCATTTAAAGTCATACCAAGGTAACAATAATCAGTTACACGCTTTAATGAAAAGCCATCAATTGAAAGCTCATGATTAGTTACCTTTGATAAGTTTGCATTAGTTCCAAACAACACCGTCTCTGTTTTTTTATCCTATTAACAGCTCGGTTGTTAACACATTCGGTATTACACCACTGTCGCTGTCTGCGAAGTAAAGTACCGTGTCATCGGCATACATCAGAACATTGCATTGTTGAACAGCTGCTGGAAGATCATTAATAAACAGGACGAACAGTAGGGGCCCTAAAATAAACCCCTGTGGTACTCCAGACGAAATATTACATGGCAGTGATTGCATATTCTGAAAGGTAACTATTTGCGATCGATCGTCAAGGTAACTACTAAACCACTCAAGTTCACTTTCAACTACGCCGTAACTCTCCAACTTGGCCAAAAGTAGGGAGTGGTCTACGGTGTCAAACACCTCCCTAAGGACTACAAATATGGCTCCGTAAGCATCTTTTGATCAATGTTCCTTCGAATAGAGTCTGTGAGAGAAGTTTCCGTTGAGTAATATTTACAGAAACCACATTCGTAAGGATTCAAGAGATGATTCGTTATTAAAAATCTATACAACTGCTCATGGACTGCTTTCTCTAATAGCTTAGACACTGTGGGAAGAACTGAGATCGGTCGGTAGTTGTCCATATTTTCGGGTTGTCATTTCTTAAAAACAGGAATTACCTTAGCAAGTTTGAAATCATCAGGCACTGTTCCTTGTTCGAGGGATACGTTAATAATCTTGGTGAGTGGTCTGGCAATAACATTAGCAGAGTCTTTCAGAAGTCGTGGTGGTATATTATCTAATCCAGCTGCTTTCTTAACATCAAATTTTATGCAAATTATTTAGAATAAACAAATTATAGCAGCATAAATTATAGCAGTAAACTGCAGCAAATAAATTATAGCAGCAAATAAATTATAGCAGCAAATAAATTATAGCAGCAAACATAAAACTATAGAATAAATTTTACTCATCTCAAGATGTCTTTTAAATGTTTTCGTTTTATTTCCAACTTTGAGTTCGTTTTATATACGAATCAAAGACCTTTAACAAATATAGAACATTTTCCGTGTTGATATACAGTTATATCAACACGAGTGGAAATTTACCCTGGATTCCAGAGCCTTCAGTAAAATTTTCACTAGTGTTGATACCTCGCATAGTATAGTGGGTCTGATACCTCTGGACTTTTTGGAGAACAGCTTTCGCTTCTTAACCAGGCGTTTTCCTCTTTATCACTTGTTTTGTGACTCTTATGGCATGCAGCTAGAATAAATACCTGTAAAACAATAAAGACTATGGATTATAATAATGCAATCGATTTGCGGAGATCTGGACAAGCATGAATACAACTGACACTCAGCCAAAAAACATTGTTACGTAAAACATTCCGACTCTAGCGAGAATCAGTTCTACTTCAGAAACGATTTCTCCAGAAATGTGCAACCTTTCTAGGTGTCCCCGCACGCTATCGATCACTGCATGAAGAAAGCCAAAATATCTCACCCAGCCCTCGAGAGTCTCCACATAGTTTTGGGTCTCTCTCACTTAAAAAAACATTTGCCAGACATGTTTAAAGAGAATAAAGGAAAAGCATGCCAAACAACGAAAGCTCCGTGTTATTTACACTGAATCAGTTAGGGACGGACCATTAGAAAAGTGATGGTGGGGGGGGGGGTCCATTTCCAACGTGCACGATAATTTTTCAAACTTTTTTGCTTGTGTCGCTAATTTCTTTTTTACTAATCCTTGCTCGAAGGGGGGTGGGGCATTTTTCCGGACATAAAAATTTTTCAGGGCATAAAAAAGGGTCAAAAAAATTCTTACAGACTAAGATCAGTTCATTTAAAGGTTCAAAACACATTTTCCCTGACAAATTTTTCTCAAAACATGCTTTGAAGGCGTTTTTTGGACCAATATCTGCAACATTTATGTTTAGAAATTTTTTTCTCGCACCATTACTTATATAAAAAAAGTTTTATTTTCCAAATTTGGGGGCCGCCTTTACACAACTAATAATTTCCCCTATTGGAAAGTCTTTGCACGAATTTTTTTAAACTTTTTTCGTGCTCGAAGTTGTTTTTTTCTGTTTCCCCTGCTCGATTTTTATTTTTGCTTTTGCCCCCCCCCCCCATCAGATTTCTAATGGTTCGCCCCTTATTGAAACCGGATATTAAAAGAAACATTGAAATCGACAACACTTTTAATTACCAGCAAAATATGCATATTATAAACAAAAGCCAAAACTACAACTAGAAAATACATGCATGCAGAAACCCTCGCCCCGCTGACAAAACCATTGTATTTTCCGAACATGAAGTATCTAAAGTTGTTGTCATGGTAACACGATAATTTTTTAAGAATATTCTTACAAATGAAAAATCGCCTAAAAATATCACTTTTAATTTCCAAAATTGTCAATTTCCCAACATATATTTATTTATTTATTTAACTTCGCCATTATCATGCATGCATTCATGGCAGGGTCACCACAACAGTATATGTTACCAATTACTGTGGGCGCTTTAAATTTTAAATAGATAATAAAACACAAATAAAATACAACGAAAACTTCGATTTACCTGATCAAAGTCATCACACGAATTGGAACTTGAAGCCAGGCAAACAAATTCCTCGAAGTTTTCGTTGTATTGTATTTCACAAACATACTTAATTAGCTGCTTGCAAATTTTATAAAACATATAACAATTCATAGAATATAAAATAGCTATTGAAACTTAATAAACAAGACTAGGAAGATCTGACAACTTCGAAAAATATAGATCAAAACAGTAAAGAACCTGGACGTGCACAAATTGACACAAATCTATGCAAATTTAGACAGAACATAAAATTAAGACTTACAACCTTCCTAATCATGTTTATATTTCAATAACTATGAGACACTAATAGCAGCAAGAGAGTGAAGCAGCAAGACTACGAGCAGTGTTACACTTTAAGCAGATAGACTTCCATGTCCGAGGATTTTGAGGTTGATAATTTAGGTATAAGGCAGTTTTGAAGTAGTCTAACAGCAGAGATTTAAATCTTGGTAAAGTGAGAGACTGATGTCTCAGTTCTGCAGGAAGAACGTTCCAAACTCTTGCTGTTCTATTCATGAACGACCCTTGGAATGTTACTGTTCTGCATTTTCTAATCCTGAACGTAATGATGTCAGAATTGCTCGTAGCTCGCGTTGTTCTTATATTTCCATGCTTCCGTTCAGGGATTATCTCCTCACTGACGCACACCAACCCGTTAAACATCTTGAAGAAAAACGTCAAGTCTAAATATTCATGCCAGAAACTAATCGGTAGTAAATCGGTAGCTTGTAGTCGATCCTCGTAAGTTAGTTCGCAGTGGAATGGAAGGTTTAGTATGAATTTTGTTGCACGACGCTGCACTCTTTCGACGCGCTTGATAAGCTCGATGGTCTGAGGGGCCCAAATCTGGGTGGCGTAGCCAAGGTGTGGTCGTACAACAGAGAGGAACAGACATCTTCTTGTTCTTTGGCTTCGTATCTCCCGGGAAGATCTCCTGACAAATCCCAGAAGTTTGTTCGCTTTTGAAGTCTGTTCGACAACTTGTTTCTTCCAGCACAACTCATTCGACACCCATACACCGAGATCTTTCTCTTGATTAGCAGCGGCAAGTACTGATCCATTCAGGGCGTAGGGATACTCAACTGGTGTTTTCTTCCGTGTGATGCGCTGGCACTTACACTTCGTTTGGTTGAATGTCAAACCGTTATCTGTGGCCCAACCGTTAAGACTGATAATGTCGTTTTGAAGACCAGCAGTATCTTGCAGGTTGTCCACTTGCTTCAGAATCTTCGTATCATCAGCGAAACAAGCGACTTTTGATGTATTCACAGTCTTGGGCAGATCGTTCACATATAAAAGAAAGAGCATTGGTCCAAGGATGGAACCTTGAGGAACACCAGATGTTACTTTGCGTTCTTTTGATGTCGCACCAAGTACCGTAACACGTTGTCTTCGCCCACGAAGGTAGGATGTAAACCAGTTCAACAGGTTACCAGAGATGTTGTACTGGCGTAGTTTATCAAGGATAAGAGAGTGTTGCACTTTATCAAAGGCTTTCGACATATCTAGATAAATCACATCAGTCTGCTTGCCAGAGTCTAGTAAGGAGCCAATGTAGTCGATAACTTCAACCAGTTGAGTCACGCAGGATTTTCCAGGAATGAATCCATGTTGCGCACGGTCTAACATCAGTAATAGATGGTCACGCAGACGAATCAGAACACACCGTTCTAGAATTTTCGAGATAATACTTAGCAGGGATATTGGACGATAGTTCTCAACATGATCTTTGTTATCTTTCTTGTGTATCGGCACAATATTTGCCAGTTTCCACTCGTCTGGAAATACGCCTGTCTCGAGTGACTTGTTGTAGAGTAAAGTTAAAGAGGGTGCGATCTGTTCAGCTGTTTCTTTTAGTAGCCTTGCCGAGATCTCATCAGGTCCAGTTGCTTTGCTGCCGTCAAGGGAACGAAGTGCAGCGGCAACCTCGCAGGGTGAGAGGGATATATCTTGAAGGACTGGACAGCTAATAGTAGGTAATTGGGGGCGAGGTTCTTCTGTATCGCCAGAAAATACCGATGCAAAATGTTGGTTGAAGGCTTCTGCGATGTTGACAGAACTAGAGACTACTTTCCGAACGGATGTGACACCCGTGGCCGTGTTTTTGCTGCTAGATGGTACAGACATTTGCTCAGGAACGCTGCTTGCTTTATTGCCAAGTTTGAAAACGGACCAAAATCGTTTTGGGTTTGCTTTAATGTCCTGTTCTAATGATTCGAAGAATCTTGCCCGACTATCACTAATCATACGTTTGACCATAGATCGTAATTGTTTGAATTTGGCAGACAAGTATGTTGAGGACGAATGTTTTAACTTCCTACGTACAGATTCTTTCTTCCGTATCATATACAGAATGTCTCCAGTTATCCAGGGTGGTGAGCTCTTGCCTTTGATCTTTCTCGTGGGAATAAACTCACGTACTGCGCACACAAACTTTGCTTTCCATTGCAGCCACGCGACGTTCACATTCGTACTGCTTTCTACGACGTTGGAGAGGTCAATATTATGCAAAGTCGAGCGCAGTCCTTGAAAGTCGCCTTTTAGGTAGTCGTATACGTGTCTATTCTGCTTAGTTTGAGCTTTTACGTTGGCTTTTACTTCGAATAAAATACAGTTATGATCAGTTACAATGCCACTTTCTTGTGGCAGCAGGATGTCGTTTACTTTTACTTGATCGGGTGCGCTTGTAATAATGAGGTCCAAGATGTTTTCACCTCTAGTCGGTTGATTATTTATTTGCGAGAGAAAGTAGTCATTCAGGAGTTCAGTAAATTGTAATTCGTCAGACCCCGTAGTCTGATCCGGAGAATCCCAAATAATTTTTGGTAGATTAAAGTCTCCATAAATTATGATATTATCATAACTTGTTGACAAAATAGCGAGGTATGAATCAAATAAATTTAGCCAATTTCTGTCCGAGTTAGGTGGTCTATAGCAACAGCAAATGCACAACTTTGTCCTTGAGTTTGTTGTCAATTCTACAGTGACCAATTCAAGTTTACATTGTTCTTCGACTATTTCATGTACAGAATGGAATGAACTTGATTTGACTGCTAACAACACACCACCAGCACGGCTTCCTCGGTCCTTCCTATATATCTCGTAATCGTTAGATAGTATTTCTGCGTTACTAAAGTCTTTATTTAGCCAAGTTTCCGATACAAACGCAAGGTCTGCGTTTTCCGTGTATACAAGTTCTTGGAAGCGTGCGAAGTTACTAATTTGTTGACCATTAACTAAATGCAAACTTTTCAGGCTTCGAGCGTTGATTGCGAGACAATTTAACGAAGAAATTACGTAAGGTTGATTAGTTCCAAGTGAACAAGGTCCAGGGTTCGTTGCAATATCTCCGGCAAGCAAGAGTAGGATAGACGCATGCGAGATCTTGCGATTAATTTGTAAGTGTAAGCCGTAGCGATGCTGGTTATTGCATGGTAAGTTATACTTTCTGAATACAACATCACGGGTGGATACCCAAACATAGCATAGTTTTTCGGGCAGAGAAACAAGTTCGGAGCAGATTAAAATGTTTTCTGATGTAATTTGGGTCTTATTAGCGTATCGATTAACTTTCACAGACAATTTCAAAATTGAAAAAAGAATTAACATGTTAATTATGAAGCGTCCAATCTTAACTAGACTTTTCTTTCCATCTGAAGTGTTTTTTAAAACCATTTCTGAATTTAAAACTTACACTCACGTGATTTAAAGGTTTCTACAGCAAAACTTCATCAAATCTATCAGCATCATGATGGAGAAAGTACAATATAAATGTTCTGTAGATTAGATCATTTAGCAGACGGCGGTCGTCGGTCGATAACACTTGAGGGAATTTGTAATTAATACGGAAAATACTTGAGATTATATTTCGCTGCAATGTCAGGGAAAACCACGCCAATGAAAGAAAAATTAATCAATAGTATAGACTAGTCGATAGATAGCAAACAGTTTAACATCAGCAGTGTTGATTAACTTGTAAGCCACCACAATAAAATAAAGTCCTTGAATTGTTTACTGTTCCAGAGCTTGAAATAATAAAGGATAATATGGATAATAAGGATAATAAGGATAATATATGTTAGGTATGATATTATACGTAATATAAGCTTCAATTTAATTAAGGTAAAATTCAACCACAAACGCTTCGCAAAACGTTTTAAAGTGTTCTTTATAAAACTAAACTGCCTTTAATGAAATGGCTTTATCGATAAACGTCGAGTTGGCAATAAAATGATTTCAAATTCTCGCATGCAAATAACTTTGCTTTCTTTATTTAAAAAATTCAATATAATAAAAAAGGGAATCAATATTAAAGATACACTGCAATTATATGCTATCTTGTTTAGTTGTTTCATATACGCAAAGGCCGTCGGGTTTTATAAAAGCAGTTATAAAATCAATATTTAGAACAAACTTACCTTCGTTAGCATCGGCTCCCTTCTTTTAGCCGATACCTTCGCCCTTTCTTTCTTAAAATTTACAAAATCTTGCAAAAATGCGAGCAAAAATGAAAAATATTTGCAAGAAATTTATCAATCATCAAATCAAGAAATGTTTGCTATTTCGCTGTCGTCATGTAGTCGTTATAATGCAAACTTTAAATTGGACCAATCAGTGTCCGCTATTCATGACAGTCCGCCATATTTTGGGGATCAGTGGGGATGACCACCCACTGAACCACTCACGGTAACCCACGCCCGCGCTCATTGATGACTTTAGACTTGGCTAATGCTTTCGTTTCCCAGGATGTAAATAGCCGGGAGGAATTAATACCCTTGCACGGCGCTTCGCGCCGTCGGCTCGGGGAATATATTTCAAATACAAACTACTTTCCAATAATGGTGACTGAATTGGTCTAAAATACATTTTATTTAGTAAATAATAGATTAAGGAAAAGTTATAAAACGCCTTCTTTAAACACAAACATTATTGATTTGTTTCAGAAGTGGTTTTAATTGACAGGTGACCACCGAGCGGGGATGTATTGCCTCCTAATCGCGTTTGTATGGGAAAATATCCATCTCCAATTAACAAAATTATGTCATACAAAGTGAAATTTTAAATAAATGGACAAGCATTGTTCTCCAATAAACCTGAGACGAGAATTAACAAGAAATAGTGGCCAGAACACGATCTCATAGATGTTAGCCCGCCCATACATTAGGGACGATTTGCCTCATAAAGAACCCTTCCTTTGTCGCGGAAAATGAGTTTGACCAAAATTTTTTGATTTGATATGAATAACTTTAAATTTCAGAAGCAATCCACTTTTTTGCTACGCCTTGTGGCATCCATTAGGTTTTCAATCATGAATGACGGACTGCAATGGGGCAAAATTACTGCCACTAAAATCGCCGGTTCCAAATAGATATTTGGCTTATTATTACTTTTGTGAAAAGAACATGCATGATTCAATAAAAAATACGGATACATGTTTTGTAGACCCTCGCACGACTTCGGTACATAGTTAGAAAAATTGCAAATATCCGTCCTAATCGTGAGCGCCATTTTGGATTCCTGAACATGTCAAACATATTTGAGGGTAAACAAAAAAATAAGACAATTTATCACTGTTTGAACAAGTATCAGGATACATCAAGGAAGTTATAGATACATTATGAAGCCAAACGAAAATTGAGTCAGAATTCGCTGGACCGTTCTTGCAGACAATATAATGCCTCTTAACATACAAGAAACTCTGGAACATACAAAGAACTCTGTACACAGCTTGATGAACCTTGGTGCCAGGAGTGGGGGGGCTGAATCCGATTTGCAGAGCTAGCTTACGGAAAACAAATGGGATTCCCCCATGTTGGTACTGTTGCGAGCTATCGAATACATTAGGTACTACCGAACTTAACAATCTAGAACGCGCACAACGATACGCTTCCAAAATTATTCAAGAATTGGGCCCAAATACGCGTACGGAAGCAGCCCTCGGTAGCATCGGATTTTGGGAAATGGAAGCTTATATTGACAAGGCAAAGTTAATCTATTTTGGTAGATTGTGTATGCTAGGTCCGAACACAACAACGAAACAAGTGTTCCTCAACCGGTTGTTCTCATGCAGGTACAGACAAGGCGAGGAGAGAGTTATGGGGTTTATACCAGACGTGATGCGTTTACTACAAAAGTACAATCTTCAAGAATTTCTTGAAACATATATTAACGAGCAATAATTTCCCAGGTAAGCACAATATGGCGCAAAATTGTATTAGACAAAATTGGTGGACATCAATTGTCTAAATAGAAATTAGGAATGAACGACAAACCTGAACTTTATCACTACAAAAACATTCACCAAAATATAATTTCCCTTATTCTATGGGAAACCGAAAAGCGTAACCCCTTTAACAGAATTGCTGTGGCGAACCTCGTTAATATTGTTTGTGGTAATGTACCAGACATTTTTATGAAGTGTGTCCAAGAAACTCCTGATAGTTACACCTGCCAACTTTGCTACAAAGATATCGTAGACATAAACAAGCATTTAATTATGGAGTGTTGTGTACTTAATAGACCACGAAACGAAATGTGGGACACGCTATATGATATATTACCACTGGAGAACGTTGCATTCTTAAACGCACCTCATGATGGTACAGAAAATCGGCATACGTAATGGTAAACCACGATATATTGAATGTCGAAACTTTAAAAACTTTAGGGAATCTAAGTTCAAAAAGGACCTAAAATCTACTCATTGGCTTATAATTAATGAGTTTGATGATGACAATGATGCATGCGATACATGGACATCTGTTTTTAGTGAAGTGATTGAAAAACACGCGCCTGTACGTATAGTTTCAGAGTTCGTAATAAACCTAGCCCTTGGCTTAATTCAAAACTCAAATATTTAATGATAAATAGAGATAAACTGAAGAAAAAGGCTATTTCATCCAATAACTCTGACTGATCTTTGTCTGCTTATAAGCAGCAAAGAAATTTTGTAAATAATAAGATCAGAAAAGCGAAAAAGGCATATTTTCAAGACGAACTCAACAAAAATGTAAATAATGTTAAAGAAACATGGAAAATTTTAAATAATGCGCTGGGAAAGAAATCGGATAACATCGAAATAAACAAGCTGTCATCTGACTCAGGAGAAATCTTAACCGAGTCATTTGACATTGCAAATTCGCTTAATAAACATTTCGTTGGAATTGGTCCGAAATTGGCCTCCAATGTTCCCTTTTTAGGCAAGGTAGCAACAGCTAAGGATTACATGACCCAGGTTGAATCAACATTTGAATTTCAAAAGATAGATTCTTAAGGCGTCTTTAAATTAATAAACAAATTAAATTTGCGTAAAGCTTCGGGCTGTGATAAAATATCAAATAGATTATTAAAAATATAAATAATTATAAAAAATTATGAAGCTTTAACAAATTTGTTTAATCTTTCTCGTACAACAAATAAATTTCCGACAAGGTGGAAAATTGCAAAAGTCTATCCATTACATAAAACAGAGGAAAGGGATAATGCAAATAATTATAGGCCTATTTCGGTCTTATCCTCAATTGCACGTCTTTTTGAGCGCCTTGTGTATAATCAAATGTATGCTTATTTATCTAAACATAGACTAATCAATACCCGTCAATCTGGATTCCGTTCACTTCACTCTACCATGACAGCCTTACTGGATATGAAAAATCAATGGTGTTTTAATATTGATAAAGGGATGTTAAACGGTGTGATTTTTCTTGATCTAAAGAATTAAGGCTTTTGACACCATTGATCATGAAATTTTGCAAATGAAACTTGCATGTTATGGTTTGAAAGAGTGTACACTGTAAATCTGGGAGTGTTGCCACAACACCAAAATCGGTGTAAATTCTGGGTCTAGCTATTTTGCGGGCCGCGGGCTGCGGGTCAGTTTTTGCGGGCTGCGGGTCAGTTTTTGCGGGCTGCGGGTTAAAACAATTGCGGGCCGCGGGCCAAATTGCTGGCTTAACTAATTTTTTGTTGCATGCCATAAATGGCATGCAACTTTCATTAGTGAGCGTACCGGTCACGTGGCAAATTCGTAAAATACGACAAATACCGAGTTTTTCCGACGAGCATTTCATCACTCATGCTCGAGGAAAGGCAAAGAAAAATGTTTGAGTGTTCGCGGAAAATTTACATAATTGAGCGCCTTTAAAAATAGATCAAGGTAGATAAAGCTTTGCTGGTTTAATTTTCCTTATATTCTGTTATTTGTTGTGATTCTGGAGTAGTTGTGCTCGCAATAAAATATTAATCATAAAATGAATGATTATTTATCAGTCGTTTTTAATATTTATATCGTGAAGCCTGGCTACGCTATCAAAATACTCAATATTTTATATATGCTCAATATATACTATATTGTGTGCAAAACTTCAAAACTACAGTACATTTTGTAAATAACATGAAATATATTAAAATATCAAACAAAATTCTCATTATACTATTGAAATTTAATACAACGAAATAGTATTCTACGTCGATAATTTCAATCATAGTTTAATAATTATTTTCAATCTATAGTAATTCGCCGTTTCCATGTTGTTTTTTATACTTTCGATAAAGCTACAATAAAGCTAAATTTGTAGGAAATAACATTATTTAGTTATAAAATAGTATAAAAGGAAATCTAACAGTCAATCGCTTTCGATAAAACCTTGACCTTGTTTATATTACCGTCGTTTGCAACCGACGATGAACAGTCGCTCATAAAAACATTGCCTATTCGCGTGAGAATCTTAAGTTTTCTTATTTTGACATAATAGCTATTTTTCAATAAATATATTGATATTAAACTTATTGAATCAATATTTTAAGTTTCAGGCCAGTTGTACCAAAAGTTATAAGCGGTAGCACATTATAACCAGGGCACAGAAAGGGTCATACAGAAGCCCAATTTCTTGGTTTTTCGCGGTTAGCACTTTTTCCATCCAGCAAACCGCCCTATCGATTTTCTAAAGTCGTTTTTTTGCATTTTTTTATTAATTCGATTAGGGTTAGAGTTAGGGTTGGGGTAAGGGGTTAGAGTAGGGACTAGGTGTAGGGTTTGTGTTAGTTACATAGCCATTTAAAGGCCGCTTTCCACTTCAACCGTCTCGTACACGCGTAAAAACGCTCAGGTTGATGCAATACTGATGAAAACAGGATTGAACAATGTTTTGCTGCCCACATTGTTCATAGCTGTCAACAATATTGAACAATATTCAAGCTCAACAATAGTGCTCAATATTGTTGACAAGTGTGAACAATGTGGGCAGCAAAACATTGTTCAATCCTGTTGAGCAGCGGGCTCGGCGTTTTTTGCCGTGTACCGAAACGTAGCGTATTTCTTTGTTTCCTGAGCGCTAGAGTGGAACTAATGATTTCAACACAAAAGAAAATGCTACGATACGGTCGAAGTGAAAAAAAAGGTTTAACACCTCTTCTCTCTTCCGAAACGAAATCTGACGATAATTGATGAGCAAGCAGCCCAAAGTTCGAAATGGCATTCACCTAGCGGCGGAAAGTGGTGCTTCAATAGCGAGCAGCTAAAAGTTGAGTGGCACTCAAAGAGCGAATCTATATCCTTTGATGGAGCCAAAGCCAATGATTTATGTGATCAAATACATAGTGTCCTTTTAAAATCTGATTATCAAAAGAAAGATCAAAACAGCGACCTTAACAAGTCATTAGAATCCTTCATAGCTGACGCGAGCGTCGAAGCGTGCAATATTAATTTGAAAGAATCGCCTAGATTATATACTTCTTTACTGCAAGTCAGTAATGTATCCTGCCTAAATAGCAAAGATATCAATTGTGATGAAAGCCCCAGTAATCCTGAATTTGAAATGGCAAATTCTAAATCTGGTGCAGGCGAGAATCAATTATCCCCTCTCATTCAACACACAGACGAACGGCGTGATGTGTTTAGGCAGTGCGAGTATAAAAAACATAGTTATGCTCATCGGGGTTTACGTGAATCGGAAACAGTACACATGCAAGACCCTGATGCTATGAGCGGTGGTCCTTGCTGTGCCGATTGTATCAAGCAAAGATGGGAAATTGATAATCTAAAAATAGAAATTACTTGTCTTAAGAAATTTGTTTATCGCGAAGGAGACAAAGCTGACAAGTCAAGCATGGATATGCAAATTTCCCGCCTTCAACGCGATAATTCAACCCTAATCAAAACAGTCGAAATGCTAAGTAGACAATTGTTAAATCAAAACGAAGAGAATTCCACCAACGTCTCAAGTGAATCAGATGTATATGTAAACCCACGACATACGAAAGAGTCGGATATCCCTTCAACTTCGTCTAAAGAAAAGGAAAAGAAACTGAGAAAAAAGAAGAAGAGAAATGTAAATGAGTCATCGTCACAGTCAGGGGTTGACCCACCTAAAGAAATTGTAAATAAAGCTGCTGGTAATCCATCAACTTCGACCGGTAACCGTAAGCCAGTAGTGGTAATCGCTGGCGACTCAATAGTAAAGAATGTAGTTGGACCATCTATGAGCAAATCTGACGCAGACCACCTCTACGTTGTTAAATCTTTTTCTGGCGCAACTATTTCCGACATGGAGGATTTTATCAAACCTACAACCCGCAAGTCACCGGACAAAATTATCCTCCATGTTGGCACTAATGATCTGAAAAATTCTACGCCGAAAGTTATTACCGATTCTATTTTGAATCTGACAACCCAAATCAAAGAGGATTCTCCTAACTCCATGGTAGGTGTTTCTGCGTTGTTAATCAGAAATGATTGCCCGATATTAGCCACCAAGGTTAATCAAGTCAACTCCACCTTAGAAAATCTTTGTCATATGAACAATATTCCCTTCCTTAAAAACGCTAATATTAACACTAGTCACCTCAACAGTAGAGGTCTCCATTTAAATAAATTAGGCAGTATATCCCTCCAAAACAATTTCAAAGAGTTTATAAATAACTTAGAAAATTGACATGATATTACGTTGTCTAGAGTTGCTAATTCAGTAAATAATGTTCAATCTAAGACTATGCAAACTACTTCTAACATTCAAAACCTGCTCTTGCCAAACAGGAGTGGCTTTAAACTTGCCTCACTTAATATCACCTGTTTAGTCAAACATATTGATGAGCTTAGAATCTATCTATCAAATAATGTGATTGATGTACTGGCTATTAATGAGACAAGGCTTGACTCTACGGTTGGTGACAACGAAGTACATATACCTGGATACGAAATTGTTAGGCGAGATAGAGATTCCAATGGTAGATTTGGCGGTGGGGTTTGTTTTTATATTCGTAGCTGTATAAATTTTTCAGTTCGGCATGATCTATCTTTTGAGCAATTGGAAAACCTGTGTATTTCAGTTAATAAACCTAGAGCCAAGCCTTTTCTTATTACCACTTGGTACAGGCCTCCTAATTCGCCTGTAGCAATGTTTAATTATTTTGAAATTCTTCTAGGTATGCTCGATTCCGAAAATATCGAGTATTACCTCATGGGCGACTTCAACTGTGATTTGAGCTCTACAGTCTTAGATCATGATTCGAAGTCACTCATGGATATTGCCGATTTATATAATCTTTCTCAGCTTATAAATGAACCTACTCGAATCACAGACTCCTCCTCAACATTGTTAGATCATATTTTCACAAATACTCCTGACAAGGTTGTTTGCTCTGGTGTTTCTCATGTGAGTATAAGCGATCATAGTCTTATTTACGCCTTTCGCAAACTTTCTGTGGGTTCATCGACGGGGGTACATTCTTCAATAAACTACAGAAAGTTTAAAAACTTTGATTCTACTAAATTTCGTAATGATATTAGTCAACAGAGTTGGAACTATATCAATCAGTACGAAAACCCTAATGACATGTGGCATGCTTGGAAAGCCACATTCAATTCTGTCGCAGATAAGCACGCCCCAATTCGAGCTAAGCGCGTTAAGGCTATTAAATCGCCTTGGATCACATCTCTTTTGAAAGATAAAATGCATAGGCGAGATGTCCTAAAAATTAAAGCAATTCGTTCCAACGATACTCAAGATTGGCTTTCTTTTAAGAAAATGCGTAATTTTGTTAATTCTGAAATCTTCTACGCAAAGCAAGCCTATTTCAAAAATTCTTTCAATGATAATAAAGACAATCCTAATAAGACCTGGAAGATCATTAATGAACTTACTTCTAAAAATAGGAAAAGCCCTCACATTGGCGAGGTTGATTTGAATGGCGTATTAATTAATGACCCTAGCAAAATTGCTGATGCGTTTAACGATCACTTTTCAAACATCGGACCAGACCTTGCAGATAAAATTAATCTTAATTATAGCAATCGGTCTTATCTTGATTATTTACCTAACCAAAATAATGCTATTTTTCAATTGAGGGAAATAAGTATTCCAACCGTTTACGCATTACTGTCCACGTTAAGCACTTCTAAAGCAACAGGTTTAGACAAAATATCTTCTAGGTTAATTAGAGAATGCTCTGACTTAATTGCAGAATCCCTCTGTCTTATTTTTAATCGTTCTATCACTACAGGCATATTCCCAAACGAATGGAAATGTGCTAAAGTTATTCCTATATACAAACAAGGCAAACGCAATTGCGTTGATAACTATCGTCCCATTTCTATTGTTCCTATTGTGGCTAAGGTTTTTGAAAGGGTAATTTATGATCAGCTATATACATTTATAGCTGAAAATGAATTATTAACTAATTATCAATCGGGATTTCGAGGCCTACATTCTACTGTCACCTCTCTTCTTGAGGCTACCAACGAATGGGCTTATAATATTGACAGTGGTAATGTAAATGCTGTAATGTTTCTTGATCTTAAAAAAGCGTTCGACACTGTAGATCATGAAATATTGCTGAACAAACTTAATGCATATGGAATCAAGGGAACTGCGGGTAACTGGTTAAGATCGTATCTAAATGAACGTAATCAAAAGTGTTTTGTTAACGGTCATTTCTCCTCGAATCGATTACTACAATGTGGGGTTCCTCAGGGAACTATATTAGGCCCGCTTTTATTTTTAATCTATATTAATGATCTTCCTAATTGTCTAATACACTCTCGGGCACGAATGTTTGCTGATGACACTAATTTGACATATGCAAGTAATAACATACATGAAATTAATCATAATCTTAACGAGGATCTTGCTAGTGTCAGTGAATGGTTATCAGCAAACAAACTTACTTTAAACCAGACTAAAACTGAATTTATGCTAATTGGCTCTCGCCAAAGAATAAACACTTTTCAATCTACTCCTTTATTAGTAATAAATAACGTTCCAGTTAAACAAGTCTCTCATACAAAATCACTCGGCGTACACATTGATGAGAACTTATCCTGGAATGTTCATATTGAGAAACTGAGTAAAAAAGTTGCTTCCGGTATTGGTGCACTAAAACGCATTAGACCTTATGTTCCTTTTACCACAATGCAACTTATTTACAAGTGCTTAGTTCAACCATATTTCGACTACTGCTCTGCTGTCTGGGATAGTTGCAGTAGTTATCTAGTTAACAAATTGCAAAAATTACAAAATCGTGCTGCCAGGGTATTGACATCTTCTAGTTATGATACAAATGCCGATTATCTTTTCGAAAGTCTTGGATGGAAAAATCTTGTATCTCAGCGTAGGCTTACCAAGGCTATCATGGTGTATAAATCCTTGAATGGTCTTGCTCCAGATTATCTTTCTAATATGTTTGTTGATCGCAATAGTATCACAAATTATGCATTGAGAGACACCAGTAACAAACTAGCTTTGTCACTACCGCGTACTAATTACTTGAAAAATAGCTTTAGTTATAGCGGTGCAGTACTGTGGAATTCTCTTCCTACTGAGTTAAGACAGGCTAGTACTTTACATAAATTTAAGTCTGACTGTAGCAACTTTATTCAATAATTTTTAAATATTTTATCTAATTTTATCAATTTAATGCACGGCACTCATGAAAAACAGGTAGTTTTGTAAATATGTATAGTATAATTTATCATATATCTAATTTCCTTTGTTACTTTATCATAAGTGTGTAAAATCCTGATGAGTCCACCGTGACTAAATAAAGTTCACAAAACAAACAAAACAAAAACGTCAGGTCAGTTTGCTGGATGGAAAATAGTGCTACTATTAGGATTGGTGTACAGTTATTCCGGTCGAAACAGGTTTTAATGTCTGGTACGACTCATAAACTGAGATTCCATGATATTACAAAAAGAATGAATTTAAGGAAAAATTCGTATGCATATGATTACGAATAACATTAGACATAGAATATACTTCAAAGACAGAAAATTTTGAATAATATTGTTAGTTTCTTTACATTTTGACAATATTTTTTTTTAAATTCGTCAGGCCCGCAACTAGACCCGCGGCTTGCAATCGTGTTAGCATTTTTCTGCCCGCAGTCCGCATTTTTCGGCCCGCAGCCCGCATTTTTCGGCCCGCAGCCCGCAATTATTGGCCCGCAACCCGCATTTTTCGGCCCGCAACCCGCATTTTTTGGCCCGCAGCCCGCATTTTTGGCCCGCAGCCCGCAGTTTCCGCCCGCAGCCCGCAGTTTCGGCCCGCAGCCCGCAACCCGCAGAATAGTTAAACTCGGTTTTAATGTCTGGTACGACTCATAAACTGAGATTCCATGATATTACAAAAAGAATGAATTTAAGGAAAAATTTGTATGCATATGATTACGAATAACATTAGACATAGAATATACTTCAAAGACAGAAAATTTTGAATAATATTGTTATTTTCTTTACATTTTGACAATATTTTTTTAAAAATTCGTCAGGCCCGCAACTAGACCCGCGGCTTGCAATCGTGTTAGCATTTTTCCGCCCGCATTTTTCTGCCCGCAACCCGCATTTTTCTGCCCGCAGCCCGCATTTTTCGGCCCGTAGCCCGCAATTTTTGGCCCGCAACCCGCATTTTTCTGCCCGCAGCCCGCAACCCGCAGAATAGTTAAACTCGTAAATTCTTGCCTCTGTAGGGACACCGAAAAGGTGTCAGTTAACACTGATTTTAGTGTTAATTTACACCTCTTCAGTGTACATAGTTGTGTCTGTATGAACACCCATTTGGTGTTAATTTGCACCATCCTAGGTTATTTGACGCTGCTTTGGTGTAAATCCGTGCATGCATGCATTCATAATTTATTCTGGTTGAAGAATTTTGCATGCTATCTTGATTATTACGATTTTCTTCAAAACCGGAATACAACATGCTCTCATAGTTATTTTCTTTTAAATCTTGGTCAAAATTTAGCATGCCTTCATAGATTAATTGTTTTCCCATCTGAAACAGAATGAAGCATGCTTTCCTGATTATCATGTTTCTCTGAATAAATTATACTGTTATCCTTAGAGCTATCGTTGGGGCTTTCTAGACATCAATTATTTATAAAATGAATAATGTTCTTGGCAAGGGCTGCAGTTCCCATTTTATTTAAATGCAGTCCATAATTATTTAAGTGTTTTGCACCTATATTATTATGTTTAATTAATCCCCAGTTTCTTTGTCTACAACAGTTTGCGAGAATTGTATTTACTGAATGATCAGTCATTCTTGTTGGTTACTTATATGTGGTTGGAAGTAATTGGATGCCATATATATCATGTTGATAAAATCATCAGTAGCTGTATGGGACTCAAAGTTTAATAAGTTTATGTTAAAGTCACCTAGCAGAACGCACAACTTTGATTCATTAGAAATCTTATCAAATACATGCAGTTGTAAAATATTCAGAGAATTTACTCAAATCACTATGTGGATGTCGATAAACTACTGAGCACAAAATATTCCGGAATTTACTGTGAATTTCAATCCATAAGCATTCAAAATCATGAGTTGTAGAGGTAAGTTCATTACGAATATGAAACTCAATATTATCTCTCACAAGCAACCAACACCACCTGCGTTACTAATGGTTGGCTGGGAGATAAAGTGATAGCCAGGAATAG